AGATTTCCATTGAGATTTGATGCTTTTGGAGGCTTTTGGATGGAGATTTCTATTAAAAAACTTGAGATTTCCATTGAGATTTGATGCTTTTGGAGGCTTTTGGATTGAGATTTCCATTAAACATTTGAAGATTTCCATTGAGATTTGATGCTTTTGGAGGCTTTTGGATGGAGATTTGTTTGAGATTCGATTAATATTCCAGATGTCTTCAAAGTTAGGAATTCTTATTTCCTTTTAATTTAATATTGCCAGAGGTCTTCAAAGTTAGGAATTCTTATTTCCTTTTAATTTAATATTGCCAGAGGTCTTCAAAGTTAGGAATTCTTATTTCCTTTTAATTTAATATTGCCAGAGTAGCTCCAGAGGTAGCTAGCTAAGGATTCCTTATTTAATTATCAACTGATTGATTTTCTTATACATTATTTTGGAGGCCTTGGCTGTTGAGGGGGGGGGGGGTTTATTAATCAAGGGACTACATTAAGCCGGAACAGGCCAATTTTGAATGGCCTGTGTGGATATTGATGGAAATCATCTACACCACGCATTTCGTCTTTCTTGCTAACATCATGGCAGCATCATGATTTCAAGCACAGAAAGATTGCCCAGAAGGGCCGGTCCGACTTTATTTTACAATGCTGAAAGCTGTGTTTCACAATGCCAAAACATGTAATCCAAACTAAACTGCTGCTTGGGCCTGGAATGCTGGTTTCAGACAATTCCCAACATGACACCAGCATTGCGCTCGCTTCACACGGATTCTTGACTTGATAAGTCACACAATATGCAACTTGCAAGCCCCATCTCGTATGTGGCTGATATACAATTCAATGATCGGTAGCGCCAAGCTTTTCCGTGATCCATGATCCACGCAGGCCAAGACTTTGTCAATGATTTGTATTGTAAATATGTGTTTTCAGTTGCGTGGTTGATGGTTGAAATATTCACAGAGAAGCAGCACGCCCCAGTACCAATTTTTTGAGTAAACAGAAAGACAGCTGACAAACAAAACAAACCTGTGGTAAGACATGCGAGAGAGCTGTACATGCTCTGACAGTGATTTTTGCAGGGGTCTTGAGCCGGATATTATGGATGGTACTGGCTGGATTGGCTTGGTGCTGCTGACGGAGCGGGGTGTTTCTTCATCACATCCACTGGGACGTATGTTGGTTCCACCCATCGATCACTTGGGTGCGAATATACGAGACTCCAATGCAGTGAGACCAAGTGCACTTGATGATGTCCGAGTTTTGTGTAAGGCCTAATTATATACTAATTATATACTTATAGGGCCAAATTTGTTCAGGATACTGCTACGAGTGCATTGCCAAGCTTCCAGGATGATAGTCAATTGTCCAACATATAAATATATATATAAGGATACAGCTAATGACATCAATCAAATTACAAAGTCAGTCCGTTCTCGTGTCGGTCAGTCGTTTCGCTAGGTCTGATAGATTCACATATCTCGCTAAGATATGATTTCCACTGAGACAGCACAGGCACAGACCACTTGGAAAAGTGCAGTCCATGTGGGGATTGAATGACAACCAGGCAAACCTCAGTACACGCTCCAAATGGCAAGGAACATATGTTCGGCACAATGATGTGCCTGGCATCTTCTTTTGGTCCCTGGAATGTTCCAGAGCCTTCGCTGCATGGTGAAGTTTTGGCAGTGTGCTCAGACAGACTTGCTTCCAAAACTCAGAGAATCCTCTTCAAGTGACATGTGGTCTCGTCCATAGACAGGCTTGTTGGTCCGCCATTTGCCCTGAGACGGTTGCTGCAATTCCCAGAGCTTTCATTATGATTCCAAATAGAAGATGCATGGATATGTAGCCTCATCAAATATTGAACAGATCTCAGGCACATTGGCCTCGATAGGAGCCCGCGCTGCTGGAATACCCTACTACCCTGCCACCATGATACTTGACAGAAAAGCAACACTTGAAGACTTGAACTTGCCTTCTTGATCAGCCTATCCTGCACAGATCAGGTTCCGCACAGTTGACATGGAACCCTTTGCAAAGAAGACCGATATGAAAGTAGCAGATCCAGGCCTTGCTGTCCATGTAAAAATATATTCTTGTTTGGGGTGGAACCAGGCGGCTTGATCCCAAAGTAAGTGCAATATTCAACCTTAGACCCACGCATGTTCCGTTCGGCAGCTTCCGGAGGTTTCACCTTTGACTTCTCTTCCAGACGCACTGGAATCTTCAGTACTCCTGGAGTTTCTGCAAAGTGGCAGCTGAGCGGCAAAAGCGATGAAGACCGAGATGAGGACTTCACGCGGAAAGCCGAATGGTTCGTGGAAAGGCACGGCTTGGACCCACAGTTATTGGATGACAGTTTGGATTCATCACATTTATGAACGTAGCATCTGTCAATGCAATTCAACCCTTCCCGTGTTGCCCAACAGATACTCGGTCTACGCAGCTTGGCCTTGGGGCAAAGGACCACTACTGCTTCGGGGAGATGTGGCCAAGCAGAAAATAAACAAGCATTCTGAGTGAGAATGGAATGAACCTCGAAAACTCATCAAAGTCAAGATGATCGACCATTTGGAGGCTACACTACAGCTCGATCCAAATTATGGACGCAATGAACTTGAAGTGTTTGTGGTAAAATAAATTTAACAAAACAAAATGACGTCAATAAAAAACATGTGATTGCTGCAGTATATACATAATTTGGAAATGTATGCATGGATGCACCAGGTTCAGCATCCCGAATGGCCGCTACAACGAGCCGTGATTGAAAGTTTGGATGCCTCTGAATTGCTTGAGGATTGGCTGCCATGGCTGATTAAGTTGTTCTCTTGTGTGTGTGTGTGTGTTTAAGTCTTCACTTGCTTTTATTGCATGAAGGCTTCAGAAATTGCATTGAATGATGGTTCTTTTTCTCCGGGTCCAGGCAGCAGGATGGACAGATCTTGCAGCAGCAGGCGTGTATTGTTCCTTGTAACTATATATGATATATGATGATATATGTGGCAAAGGCTTTACAACCAAATGCACAAGGTGGTTTGTATTATGTGACTGAGCATTCTTGGACTGGACACCAGTTATGCCCTCTCAGTGGTTGTTCCGCACGGCTGAAAGTCTGAGGCTCATATTGTTTTTGTACAACATATATACAAGTAAAGAACAAATGAGTTTGCGCCCCTTCAATGTAAGGTCCCCTTTCTGTATATATCACGAAAGCCAGCCGGTGGGCAAGGCTTGAGGTTCTTGAAGCGAACCAAGTGAGTTAAAGGAGGGGGGGGGTCGTGAGAAAAAAAAAGAGGTGGGCCACTTGGTAGTGAAAAATTAGTTGTTTTAGGGGTATGTGATGCCGGTGATGTAATTGACGGCCAGTAGTGCATCATTAACATCACGAGGGGCTCAGGAGGCATTGTAAACCGATTTCTACCAGGGGTGGGAGTTCATGTCAATAATAGGAAAGAGGGGACAATGGGACGCGAAAGGCTACACAGGTTGCAAGGAGATGTGCGCCTCTCGTGGCCAGTGAAATAGTGTTCGACCAGGGGTGACAGGGAGGTGTGTGTCTCTTAATGCATTGTGTGATCTGTGAGGAACCAGAATGCTGTGGGGAAGGTAGAAGACAGGCATAGCGTAGGAGGACGTGGTGGGAAAAGATTTGCATGCTTAGCGTGCCCTTTTTAATGGTGAAGACGCCTGTCAACTGTACGACGCAAAAGGGCACCCCAAGTGAACTAAAACTTGTGTTCCAAAGAGACTCTCCCCAACCCCCAATATGGGGCGCGAGTTCATGTAATGCTGTGGTCCGTTGAGGGCAGGAAAGAGAACAACATGCAGCGGGCAAGCTTTGAATTGCTTGGGGGTGCCCTTTTTTAACGGTGAAGAGGCCTGGTTGCCGGACTCAAAAGGGCACCCCATATGGGGCGGGAGTTCATGTGGACGAGAGAGGCATAGCAGAGGAGGACGTAGGAAAAGAGGGATTGCAAGAAACGATGTGACCCATTCATTGAGAGGAACAGAATGCAGCGGGCAAGCATCGAGTTGCTTGGGGGTACCCTTTTTTAATGGTGAAGAGGCCTGTTGACCAGACACAAAAGGGCACTCTATATGGAGTGGGAGTTCATGTACAAAGTGGGCATAGCGGGGGAGGAGGTGATAGGAAAGTAGGTGTGGAGCTCACCAGGGCTCTCGCATTCACCCCCCATAACCATATTTATATATATATATTGATGTCTTTTACGGCGGCTGGTTTTCGTCCCCTCCCTTCTCAGGTATATATATATAATATATATATATCCTTTTTGTTTTATCTTCATGTTTGTCCTGTTGATTCGTAACTTGCATGAGACTACTATATCATCACTCCGAATCATTCCTATTTGTTTGAAAGGCCAGATGTCTTCTGCTCCACATGTTTGTTTCTCACGGGGAGTTGGACCAGTGGAGTTTTGGATGTTGGAACCTGTGTCTTGGCTGCCCAAGCTCCATGTATGTCAACATTGGTTGCTGCCCGAACTGTGGTGTCCGATGGAAGCTAAATTTCAGTGAGATAGGTCTGGTGCATGATTTTGTCAGTTCAGGTTTGAGATGTGATGTCCTTGCAGCCCTGCGACATTCCATGAAAACGGCTGATGAGAACCAATGGACCACTGCAATGTGTGGCGCCATCGTATTTCCTGTTCAGATTGTGCAGAATTTGTTTCTTTGGCAAGCACGCTGAGAGATGGTGCCCGTTCCAGATTTTTTGTCAAATGTTTAAGCGCAGATGCGCGGTTTTCTAACCGCTTCAACCTGGGACAGCTGTCAACACTACTACTATATTCTAGATGCAAGCTAGAGGAGGCAGAATATTGTTGGACCAAGAAGTAGTCAAACAGCAATGTGATGCAATGTGATTTCATGTCCTTACTTGCTATGCTGGAGGATTGTTTGCAAGTAGTTTCGATGCTACCGTTGTCGAGAAAGTCCTTACACTGACCTGTTTGCTTGGAGTTGTAAGCTCGTCCCTTGTTTTGGCTGGCCAAAATTTTCTGGCTTTTCATTTGCCGCGTATCAAGAAACGAATAGGACAATGGAGCACAATGGAGCAATGTGTTTGCTTTACTTTGAGGGGTGGGGGCACCACATCAACATATATAGATACATACATTGTACCCAGATTGGTTTCGTTGGAACATTGTATACCATGATTCGCTTTCTCTTCCACAAGTTAGAACAGTATGTTTTACAAAGCACCGTACCTGTCTATTCCCAGAGTTTCCGAACACTGGTAACTGCCTTTATAGTTTTGTGTGCCAAGTGAGGCGTAGTAATTAACGGCTAGTGCAAGCATGTGCAAGCCACGTGCAGGTGAGAGGCGGCATATGTGCCCTTGTGTTTTAATTTAAGTACACCATGGAATCTTGCAAGGCTCACCGAGCGACAAGCACTAAGGCCAATTGCTCACTTACCGCCTCTGAGGGTGTCTCCAGAGTTTGGAGCCTGATTTTGGCATCATGCGACACTGGCCGTCCAAACGATTAAACAAACAGGATGATACAAGGTTTACTTGATTGAATGACAGCGAACGAGCAAGTCATGACGGCTTCACTCAAAGGTCCAAGAGTTTGCAAGAGTGTACATAAGTCGGTATAAGTGTGTTATGTTCGACCACACGGCTGCGCAGTCTAGCCACATGACTCAGGTCTGATGAGTTAGAAGCAGTCCAGATTGGTGAGGCGCTTAGGCTGACTGAACGATATAGCCTGTTGCTGTTCGATTTCAAGTCTGTCAAATCAGTTCTTTTGAGTTTCAAGGGATGGCAAGTTTGATGGGATTGAATTCTGTCCCACTGTTCGCCAAGGTGGCGATGTTCTACTCCAGCCCAAAGGAGGCATTATGAACCAGCAACAGCATTTAACAAACAAAAGTAATAGTGAGGTATATTTTTTGTGGCGATGTGACTAGAGGCATCCAAAGGCAAATTGATAGAAGAAGTTGAGTCAATGGAATGATTCCACATGTCATGGGTCGCTTGCAGTTAGTGAATCGGAATTCAACCTTTTGTTGGCATACTCTACCACATCGAGATAGACATTTGGATTGAAACAGATGATATCTAAGCAATATCGACTGATGTTCCAGGAAGAAGAACGTGTTTTGCCCTACATAGTTTTATGGTGAAGCAGCATCATCAAAGCTATTGGGAGATAGAAGAAGCTTCTTGGGAGAGGAATCCAGAGACCTACATGGACTTCGGGGCAGAGAGTTGAGAATTGGAATTGTGGAAGAAAGACAGACAGGAGTGAGGCAATGTGCTCGCTTGGGAGAAGGCGATTCAAAATGATTCAATACTATTCGCGCGCCTCATGTCGTGTTCTTTGCGTGTTTTGTGATCCAAGGTGGCAAGGAGGGCATCAAATACATGGGCCATTGGGACAGCTTGGTGGGAAGAGGCCAAGAAGCTTTGATTGTTTTTTGCACGATCACACTCTGCGTAGCCGAGAATGGGGACAGAAGAACCGTTGTGTGTCTCCTTGCAGGAAAGCCTAAAGGCCAGAGCTCCCCAAGCTGTCAGCTGTCCATCAGAGTTCGCTTCTCAGATCTGAAGCTTGTTCCTAGTAGTAGTAAGGCCAGGAGCCCTTAGTAGCATCCTTGTTCCTAGTAGCGAGCGTTCTTGTTCCTGCTTTGATTTGCAAAACCAGGAGGCTTTGATAGATGGATAGTGGCATGCAATCGTCATACTTTAAGAAGCACTTTAGCGACCAAACCACAGCAAAGAACACCTGTGACATGCAGCATGCGATGTCAATAAATTTGGTCTTGCAAGCCAAACTTACTATAGAGGATGTTACAGAGGATAAAGGGATTATTTGATATATGTTCGATTCTATTTTATGAAGGGACAAAAATAAGCAACACTTTGACCAGGCTGATTTGGTAGGTAGCGTTTTAGGGTGGGAGTTCAGCCGACCCTTTCAGATTGGCCTTTGAAGGCATTTAAGCAGCACAAATGGACTGTAGACCTGCGGTGAAAATGGAGCCACGCTGGGAGCCCAAAGGAAAACGATCGTAGGATACAATAGCTAAGACATTCTACGGTGCTGCCGTCAGACACGCTTTTTCATGTCATGAGGTTGAGTGCTGTAACGATTTAGTGCAGAAGTGTGCACATCATGTTTATGATTGACTTTGTTGAAAAATATAATCTATATATAATTACACATACAAATACGCATTCTGTTAGGAGCAGCGGATGATATGTATGTGCCGAGATGTTCGCTGTGGGTAGAGTCTCAGCGACAGACATGTGGACAAATACAGATTGGCAGTGTTTGGCGACCTCTTGAAGGCATTGGCCCTGTGTAGGTCAAGAGATACCATGAGATACTGTGGCTTTCTAGATTTTATGAGGTTATCTTGTATGTTGCTGCATTTGACTCTTGACGGAACCTCGGAGACCTGGAGAGTTGTCACATCTCAGCCTCAAGTCGCCAAGCTGAGCTGCGTCGATTTTCAAGGCAGACAGAAGTGAGAAATGAGATTGAGGAAGTTTTGGAATCAACTGGGAGAAGAAGAATCAGCTTGTAGGTTGCTGTTTGTAAGCCTCTCTAACCTGTTGCTCCCAGGCTACCCTACAAGTTACTCAATATTTGTTGAGACTCCCAACAAAAGAACATTTGTTGAGAAAAGACATTTATTGGCCTTCTTGGGAGGGACATCGGAGGTAGCAAGCTTTGGTGGCTTGAGGCGTTTGAGACGAGCACTTTAGTGCAACTGAGTAATTCGCTTCAGCGCTGCTGCACTGCTGCTGCTGTGCCAAAGATGCCAAAGGCAAAGCTCAAGAGGCCCTCCAAGGCTCAGATACTGGGTGTCCAAAGAGGAGTAAAAATGACAACGCTGTAATGAGAAAACAGACATCGCAGCAGCACAACATCGCGAGCTCAAATCATTCTTCTGAAACTCTGAATAAAAAGACTACAGCAGACCCGCTTGTTGTTGCCTGAGCGCTTACTGAAGTTGGATCTAGATGTCGTTCATCAAAAACCAGCAGCTGTTGTCGATCTTTGTCCAGGCGAAAAGGAAGGCCAAATGCAAGCCTGAAGCCACCAACACTGTGGCGAGCACATGTGAAGTGGAGCGAATGAGGCACTATGACAGAGTGGGGGAAGTGGACTATCCAGAGACGAAAAGGGAGATGAGATGTGTAAGGACTTGATTTGACTTGTATAGATGAGTCTTTTTGATTACAATTCCCATGATAAGGCATGGAGTCCGCATCGTTGGTGGACACGCTTTGCCATGTCCCTCCAATTTTCCGACCCTTCGCTTCCACCGACTCCTGTTTAAAGTAGGACTTGCAGCCTTAAACGGAATGGAGGACATGTCATCAGTCTGGCACAAGCGTGACACAAGCAAAATCCAAAAACATACCATTTATGTGGTAATATATTCTGCATACAAGCAGCGCAAAGCAGCAACAGCAAGTAGCTTGACTGACTGCTGCAACTCAGTGTTGCCGCTGCCAGGAAGGTCAAAGAGCCATTCCTGGACATGTTCGTGAGCGCTTTGACCAAGGTGCACTTCACTTCTGTATGCCTCCGGGCTACCTGCAGCTTATGCGAGCACTGTACTTTTGCCTACGAGCACGAGAAAGTGCAATGTTTTCAAGTTGCTTTGCTGGTCTTTCAAGAAAAAATGCGAATTTGCCAAACAAAAAGAACGGAAGTCAGTACTTATACAATTTTATACCAAGCTTGCTCTGTGGGGTCTGATGACTGGAGCTGAGTTGGTGGCAGGGTGATCCTGATCCTAGTGAGATGGCCTGGCATTTGCATGGGTGCCAAGTTCTTTTTTTGAAATTTTGTGTTTTGGTTCAAGAAATCTCCGAGCCACAGGAGATTGAACACATTTTGCATAATGTGCAGCTTTCGTGGCAGGGGCAACGCTGTCCAGAGACTGTGATAGCTTGATGGCTCAGATTTTGTGGCAAGAGCAGGGGATTTCGCACTTTTCACAAAGAGCTGATGCTGAAGTTTGGAAAACATCTCGCGCAACTTTCTCGTTTTGGAGACTTGCGACTTAGGGCGGCATTTTGGGTTAATTGAGTAGATTGTAGTTTCCCACGAGCCCGATGTTTGTTGGAGACTTGGGTTTTTAGCTGCTTCAATTTCTGTCACAACAGCACTCTACACTACACGACCACACTTCCACCACTGCCACCACCACTTCCACCAGCTCTTCATGCGCTTTGGTTACAAGTTTGTGCGAGCTTGTGTTCTTCTTGCAACTTGCAGGGCAAGCAGGACGTTTCATTAGACTCAAACGGTTGGGGTCTTTACTTTGCTGCTATATACATATATATATATGTGCACATTATGTCCTACAGATTGCTCGAACAGCTCAATTGTTTGTTGCTACAGGATGCTACATGGACAGCTGCAAGAAAATAAGTTGCGTGACCGTGACATAAGGAGCGCAGGGACGCACCACGGCGTTTGTTTGGTTTTGTCTATCGGTTACGTGTGTTTAGCACAAATAGAAAAGCTAGTGGTGGGTTTCACTAATCGGTGCAACAACTGGCCATACTCAACAGTGACATTGTCAATTTCTGCCCGGGTTGGTTTGAACAAATTGCCAGCTCGTGTCGCACATGCAATGACAGTTCTGCGAGAGAGTAGTACTAATAACGGCAAGTATATATAGTTGTGTTGAAACACTTGTGCGTGTTCATGGAGTCTTTCACGAAGGGAAGCCTTAGATGAAGCACTGTGCCACAATGCCATAAACTGAATCAACATTGAGTGGTCTCGCAGAACTGGGTCGATATGAGTGTCAACTGATAAACAGCAAAACTATGTTTCAAAAGTGAAAAAAAAGCATCAGGTGGGAAAGTAGGCTTTGTGTGGGGTTCTTCAAGTGTTTGTTCTATTGGTCACTTAGGACTTGGAGGTGCATTGATGCCTGGAGAAGTGATGCACCAGTGGCCAGCCTAGTCTGATTTGCTGAATGTGATTTGGGTGATTCAAGCCTTTGTTGTTTTTTTGTCAGGATACGCTGCAGGAGTGCCTTTCTTTTTTGGGTTCGTTCACATGTCGCTAGAAGGCAGAACCTGCTTGTTGGCGGCGTCTTGCACTTTCGTGTAATCTTACAGATTGTAGGAGCATGCCATCAACGCACAGAAGGTATTCCTGGTGATTCATTAATGGAATTGTTGTTTGCACGACTGTGCCTGCACTGACAGAGGTATGACATGATTTATGGGGACTCATGACAACTACAAAACGCTGAGGGTCCGTTGGTGAGACGGCGTGTTACCTCTTAAGTGGCCTCTCAATCTCCAATCGAATGTGATTGTCCAATGATGCTCGAAACCTTAGCCACACTGAGGCAGCTTGCTCGCTTATGCTGTTCAGTGAGGTGTTTGGGATGATGCTTGTGAGACCCAAAGGTTGTGAAATTTGCAAGGGACACGAGGTACTGTAGCCTCGTGCTACAGTGAAAGTTGATGATGTTAATTCTTTCCTGGGAAGAGGCGTGCATCCGCCGGCCACTGGTATTTGATCACAGCGGCTCATAGCGCACAGGCCTTGCCTGGCCATGTCAACCTTTGTGATGTGCTGGAGGTGGCAGGGGCATGGAATCCAAATTGGAACTAAAGAAAAGCTAGAGTCGTAAGTTTGACGAAACTTGCGGAAAAAGGGCCAAGTCTTTTTGGTTGCCACTGGGTTGGAGCAGTCGAGGACCCCAACAAGTGTCAAAGTCAAAAGGATCGGAGGATAGGGGCAAAGGAGCCTGTGAGCCCCGGAAACGTGTTATTTGTTGTCAGGCAATCGACTACCATCATTACGTTCGTGGTGAGATAGGCAGCGACCGACTGGATCTCAGTTGCCTTCAAGAGTCTTGGGGTATGACACTGCCAGATGTACAACTGCAAGGATTGTATTGAGGTGCCAATCGCATGTCTTCTTGGAAGGCAGTGGATGTGATGGGCATTTCCTAATTTTGCACTGAACATTTGTGGCCTAGGTTGGGAAGAGAGGCGTGTTAACGCTCATGAGCTGCTGGAGAAGCTCAAAAATGTGGAGGCAGTTGGAGAGTCTCCAGGCATTGTCAATTTCAATATTTATGCTTTGGATAGTCCTCCTTCTTTCAAACATCCAACCGCTGGTAAACCAGGTAATTCGTACAAAGCACGGTTTGGCGGAGGCAATCACAATCATGTCATTCAAGTTTTGCGCGCACCGAGAAGTCCCAGATATCAACAGAGCACTTCATATGTAGTTATTCTGTGTAGTTCTATTTTGTAAAGGGGGTATGCATATAGTAGCTAACAAGTAGCTAGTAGTAAAGGAGGTAAGTAGGAGACCTTGGAAGCTACGAGTATGGACGCTGGAAAGCTCACACTTCTCAAAGGAAGCTTCCCCTGCCTGAGGGTGGGGGGAAGCTTCCTTGAAGAAGCGCTCGCACTATTCATGTGTTTCCTAGACTTTTGGTGAAAATGGTGTGCACATGAACGCGGGTCCTCAAGGTGTCTCCTCGCAGCTTCTCCGTGCTTCACAGAGCAGTTGGCACCCTCAGTAGCACTGGGGTAAGTGGGCTCACCAACACTGTGTATGATTGCGGAATAACTATTATGAATTAGAAGCTACTAGTAGTAAGGACGCTACTAGGGGCTCCTGGCATCGCTACTAGGAGCAAGGATGCTACTAGGGGCTCCTGGCCTTACTACTAGGAGCAAGGATGCTACTAGTAGTAAGGCAATTCTATCTTTAATCGGATCGATCGGAGTCACTGGTCCAAGACTGGTTCAAGATTACTTGCCTCCCTGCCAGTCCAGAGTGTCCGACCTCCCGGTGACCTCCCTATGAACAAGGCGACCAAGGGGAAACTGTTCCGAGAAAGCTTAATTTACTTTGGGTAATTACTTGCAAGATCTTGCAAGGTAGTTCCAAGACAATCTTTTCTTGGCCATCCAAAGCGTGTTGTAAAGTGCGAGGGGTAAGGAATTCCAGGTTCTTAATTCGAGACCCAGGCAATGGCAGAGGAGGAACATAGCTGTTACTTGCAGTTTACTTCTGAGCTTCCTTGAGATTTATCATCGGCGCTGTAGTGTCCAAGAATGAACGGGAGGCACGCATTGGATGGCAATTTGTTTTTTACTGCCACATTTGCCACACGTAATTACAGCATATGGTTCAATATACCAGTATTATATAGTCTGTATAGCAGATGAGAGTACAATTCGCGCAGCAACATCACTCGCTCGTTTTTCCATTCCTGTCCTCCGAGACTCAGCCCAAGAATTTGCCATCGAATATATAGATATGAATACATCAAGAACTGTCCACTGACAGACCTCAGCTGAATCAGCGAGGTCAGCGTTGCTTGTGCCTGGAAGGATGGTCATGGCCTTTGGGGTTTTGTGGTCAGAGCTCGCAACTAATGCGGGTTCAGAATCCAGAGCTTGCTCAGTTTCAGAAGCAGGAGATGTAGTAGTAGTGGATAGTGGTTCAGGACTTGGAGAAGTGGCAATAGCGTGCAATACCTGCAGTAGGAGCAAGTCGCCAAATTGCTGCTAAATGATGCAAGCGCCGCAAGCGCTCCGAAGTTTGGAGACTGGCTCGTGAGCTATCCTGCTAGAAACTCGAAGAAGTAGACTTAAAAGACTAGTAACCTGGACTGCTCTTCCCGTGCACAAGAAGAACCTATGCCGCCTATGCCTTTGCGTTCAAAGACTTGTTCTGCAGCATATGGACGCTGTATTGATGTGTCCAATCAAATGTATTGGACAACGCCTTGTCCTCAACATGATTTAGGCTCACCTACATATATATATATATATATATTCATATTCCATCTGGCCATTCCACTAGGAGAGGCTTCTTAAAGCAGTCAATTTCTCCTCACAACAAGCTATGTGTCATTCACGGTCAAGACTATTTCGCAACAACCGCAGATGGGGCTTGGTGCAGCACCTGTATCATAGAGCCCTACTGACCCAACTATTTTATGGAATTGTGTCTTGTTTGTTGAGTTGTACATCTATTGGTCTAGTAGTCTATAATTATATACAAGAACCACACTTGGTGCAGTTCCTGAAAAGTAGCGAACCCTCTTCTTGTTGACCAGTGACCAGATATAGTTATGTACATATATATACATATAATACATAGTATCATATATATGATATATATATATATCGGCTGCAAGGCCAACAAGTCAGAGCACACCACACATTGCAAAGCAAGCGTAGCAGGGAGAAGTCATTTGCCGCTGTTGCTAGCTACCAGCCTGATGCCATCTTGAACTAGAGCAGTACTGATTTGGTTTTGCATCAGAACTGATTTGCCCGACGGGCAGATCGGGGCAGTACACTTGTGCTTGGGCCTGGGTGTTGATGCCATGTTCGGTACCGGATCTCAGCTGGTGCCAACTGAGCGGAGTGCCCGCATGAATGAGAATGGGCCAAAGCTTCTCGGACGCATTGTTTAAAGTGAAACCTAATTCTGCGCGTCAATTCCTGTTGTCCTGCTGATTCTAGGTCCACTTTGTGTGCACCATTGTCCAAACTAACAAATAAACCGTGGTGGACATATGTATGATGAACTGGCAAGTTTACCTGCTCAAAATATAGGAACCAAATGAATAGTACGAGCGCTTCTTCAAGGAAGCCCCCCCCCGCTGCCTTTAGGGCGGCGGGGGGGGAACTTCATTGACGAAGCGTGAGCTATCCTGCGTCCATCCTACGGCCTACCCCCCCTTAAAAAATACTTTCAGCGTGGCTCAGTTCTTTGGAGCAAGGTGGCAGTGCGACAATTGTGGACATCTTAATGAAGCTTGGCAAATATGTGGCTCTCTTTGTTTGCTCGTGAAAACAGCCTGTTGTGTTGAACTGAACCTGAGAGACTAGTGTCTAGCTAGACAGAGTGCAATCAAAAAGCTGTTTGTGAATCTGACCAGTGGGAGTCGGAGCAAGTCTTTGCTGGCCTTACAGCTTACAGTAATGTGGAGCAATGTGCGCGCTTCTTCCGTCTTACTGCAGTTGGACTGCTCGGGCAGCTCTTGCGTACTCAAGCATGTAATCAGCTAAGCTCCATATATATATATACTATTTATGATTTTATATATATATAACTACTTTTGGTTCAGAGGGTCTTGGTTTTGCGTTGTTGCCGCTGTACAAACAAAGGAAAGAGCACGGTCTAGAGAAAAGAAAAGAACGTCAATTACATATCTTAAACTTCACACAATACTTGTTGTAATTATTTGCCCACCGGAGCAATCCGCACCCAAGCGGTGTTCGCTTCAAACTTGTCGCCAAGGCACAGTCAGTGTCTCACTGCAGCAAATGCTCCCATTTGCGGCAGGAGGAGCTGCCCGCGTTTGTCCCAACTGTGCAGGGAAAGATGGTGCAAGAAAATATTGTAATATGTTCTTTTGGAGGGCAAACATGTACTCAATACCACCACAATTACTATACTGTTCTCAATACCACAATTACAGTCCTGGACATGAACAGCTTTAGCAACCTGTTGACTGGATACGCTGCAGTCAGTGATATATATATATATATATGAAACGTCTCGCGGGTTAAAACGCAACACCGTATGCGTTTTTGATCGCAGTGTTTCGGCTTCGGCTTGGCATGCCCCCTCCGGTGGAGGGAGGGGGCTGTTCGTGCGAGTTCTGTAATCTCCTACGCCGAGCTGGAGAAACCGTTCACCGCCTTCGAGTACACGAACATCGGGTGGAGGTGTTTTCGAAGCTACATCAGGCGTACGTGTTGGCCCTTGAACATACTCTCCTGGTAAGTCGGGAGGGGGGCTCCTGGAGGGGAGCCAGCGGGATTGGGTTGCCACCCCGAGTCTGCCACCGGTTCTGCTTGCGCCACCAGTAGGATCAGCTCGAAAGGAAGAAGAGGGTCGAAACGAGACTGAGGAGGGAGCCACCAAGAAGAAGAAGAAGAGCAAGAAGCGGCCAAAGCCTGAGGAAGAGGAGCCATCAGAGGAGGAAGAGCTGCCCGAGGACAAGGCCAAGAACAAGAAAGAAGAGAGGAGCAAAAAGGCTCGATCAGAAACTCCTGAGACCTGGGTTGAAGGAGTAAAGAAATCAATGGAAGAGGACAAGCGTGAGCCACTGCCCAGAAAGAGCATCAAGCCCAGTATAACACCTGCACTACAAGGGAAAGAAAAGAAGAGCAGAGAGGATACAAAGCCCAAGGAGAACAAGGGTACTAAGTTGAATCTGAGGCCAAAAGCAAAGGTGAACAGGCCCCGATCCAGAAGCCGCTCAAAGGAGAAGAGGACGAAGGAAAAGAAGAGAACGAGGAGTCGGAGCCCTTCCATACTTGCCGGGGGAGACAGAGGAGTCTCCTCGAGGGGTACAGAGAGAGAGCAGGTCACCAGATCATCCTCCGCCTTTGCACCGCCAGATTCTCGCTCAAAGCCCAAAAAGAACAAGGGCGTGAAAAAGGAGTTGAAGAACGAAAGGTATTGGGAGCGAAGGAGGCAGCAGCTCTGGGAAGAGCAGACAAGGGGGCACGGCTATAGGAGCGCGGGGATGCCCCCCAAAAGGCGACCGGCGCCAGCGGCTGTCAGAAGAGGAGTGTTGAGGAGGCCTGCGCGGCCGCCAGTGGCACTGGGAGATGGAAAAAGGCGGGAGAGATAGATACAGATACTCTCTTGGGCTGGCCATGGGTGCAACTTCGAGGTCGCTTCCGGGAGGAAGAGGTCAAGTTGGTCGGCAAGGTGATCGAAGTCAAACGGCGTTGGCCGCGAAGTGCTAATGAAGAGCAGCGAGACCTTATTGAAGGCCCGCAAGCAGCAGGCGGATCCGAGTCCACTTGTGCCCGGATCCGTGCCCGGCCTTGATCTGGGAAGAGGGCTGCATTCACTGCAGACACCTTCGGCGAGCAAAGAGAGAGGACATTGGGTGGAGCCAAAACCAAGAGGCCGCAGTCCAGAGAGAGAGAGAGAGGAGCCGAGGAAAAGGTGTGGGGTCGAGGCCAGAGAAGGAGAAGAAGAGGGCGAGGTCTCCTGGTACGTCGGGAGACGAGGAGGAGAAGAAGAGAAAGAAAAAGAATTACTTTACTTCGAGTGATCCCCACCATGACATTCATACATTTGTCTTGATGCCATAGCGAGGAGCATGTTGCCATGGTCGTGAATATTGTAGTTCTCGACGTTGCTTGTGGGTCCTCGGGTTGTGTGCTGTGGTTGTGTGTTGTGGTTGTGGTTGTGTGCTGTGCATTCTATCTGGCAATGTATCTAGCAATCTATCTGACACACTATTTGGCATACTATCTGGCATATCTTCTTGCAGCATTCTATCTGGCAATCTACCTGGCGTTCTATCTGGCATTTTATCTGGCAAACCATCTGGTTGAGGTCCAGCGGTGCACACTGCGATCGGATCCTTGCGGTTGAGGTCCAGCGGTGCACACTGCGATCGGATCCTTGCGGCTGAGGTCCAGGGGTGCACACTGCGATCGGATCCTTGCGGTTGAGGTC